CTGGGGATCACAGTACTGCAGAGGCAGAGGGGGAAGTTGGGAGCGCTCTGGATTCCCGGCAGGAGGTATTTATAAAAGGGGTGAATCCCGGGTGAATGTGCCGCCAGCACATGAGCAGCTCCCATCTCTGCCCAGAGGAACCGCCAATCAACCGTTTTCCCTTTCTGATCTCATGTTCTGGAGGAGCCGAGTCTTGTCACCGATGTCACCGTACCATCCGCCGCTGTCACACGCTCTGTCAGAACACGTCAGCTACAAAGCATCGCGGCGGGCGGCTCCGGCACTGCGCCCCCCCAATACTCGCCATCAAACGTCCGCCATTCTCATTGCTAATTAGCGGAGACAGAATACCGCTCCCGTCTCTCTGTACGCGGAAAATCCATTTCATGGGAAGCCGCTTCCTGTCACCGTCATAAAGAGAGATCACAACTCCATGAGAGACCGCGACCGGCGCAGCACGACGGCAAATCTCCCCGCGTATCACACCGTGCCAGCGCAGCACCCGGAGAACTACAAGGCACAGCAACCCTACAATGCCACAAACACTATGCAAGAGTACATACCCAGCACAGGGATGGTGGGAGCCCCTCATAATGGGCACAGCGGGTGTACAGACCTGGGAACTCAGCACAGGGATGGTGGGAGCTCCTCATAATGGGCACAGCAGGTGTACAGACCCGGGAACTCAGCACAGGGATGGGGGGAGCCCCTCATAATGGGCACAGCGGGTGTACAGACCTGGGAACTCAGCACAGGGATGGTGGGAGCTCCTCATAATGGGCACAGCAGGTGTACAGACCCGGGAACTCAGCACAGGGATGGGGGGAGCCCCTCATAATGGGCACAGCGGGTGTACAGACCTGGGAACTCAGCACAGGGATGGTGGGAGCTCCTCATAATGGGCACAGCAGGTGTACAGACCCGGGAACTCAGCACAGGGATGGGGGGAGCCCCTCATAATGGGCACAGCGGGTGTACAGACCTGGGAACTCAGCACAGGGATGGTGGGAGCTCCTCATAATGGGCACAGCAGGTGTACAGACCCGGGAACTCAGCACAGGGATGGGGGGAGCCCCTCATAATGGGCACAGCGGGTGTACAGACCTGGGAACTCAGCACAGGGATGGTGGGAGCTCCTCATAATGGGCACAGCAGGTGTACAGACCCGGGAACTCAGCACAGGGATGGGGGGAGCCCCTCATAATGGGCACAGCGGGTGTACAGACCTGGGAACTCAGCACAGGGATGGTGGGAGCTCCTCATAATGGGCACAGCAGGTGTACAGACCCGGGAACTCAGCACAGGGATGGGGGGAGCCCCTCATAATGGGCACAGCGGGTGTACAGACCTGGGAACTCAGCACAGGGATGGTGGGAGCTCCTCATAATGGGCACAGCAGGTGTACAGACCCGGGAACTCAGCACAGGGATGGGGGGAGCCCCTCATAATGGGCACAGCGGGTGTACAGACCTGGGAACTCAGCACAGGGATGGTGGGAGCTCCTCATAATGGGCACAGCAGGTGTACAGACCCGGGAACTCAGCACAGGGATGGGGGGAGCCCCTCATAATGGGCACAGCGGGTGTACAGACCTGGGAACTCAGCACAGGGATGGTGGGAGCTCCTCATAATGGGCACAGCAGGTGTACAGACCCGGGAACTCAGCACAGGGATGGGGGGAGCCCCTCATAATGGGCACAGCGGGTGTACAGACCTGGGAACTCAGCACAGGGATGGTGGGAGCTCCTCATAATGGGCACAGCAGGTGTACAGACCCGGGAACTCAGCACAGGGATGGGGGGAGCCCCTCATAATGGGCACAGCGGGTGTACAGACCCGGGAACTCAGCACAGGGATGGGGGGAGCCCCTCATAATGGGCACAGCGGGTGGGGGGGCAATCTAATCTGGGACATGGAACTGCGCAGGACGGAGCGGTGGACAGACTAGGTCACCGCGCTCTATTTTGGGACACGGGGGGGTTCGCTTTGCCTCTCTTTGTAAATTGTCTGGAGAGGTCTGAGGAGCACGGAGTAACGGCCGGCCTTCAAAGCCGTGAATGGGGCGCCCTGTCGGCGGCGAGCTGATTACGCACGCGGTCGGCGACTCGGCGGGAGCCGCGCGGAGCTTCTCGGGTCAGCGCTGTGAATGGATCTTTTCAACTTACTTTCCATAAAAGCATTTGGGGATGGGG